CACATGTCCTAAAACTTCCAGACCGCAACGCAAACCATATTCCGGACGCAACCCCCTTTTGGTTCTTAAAGACACACTAATTACCTTTAGAAACATACAAACCAATGCCTTAATCGGGGAAACGAATCCACAGCCACGATACCTTTAGCAAAAACACGCCCCAACAACAAAATATATGTCTCTTGCAAGAAGACGGCGTACCTTCCAAAAAAACCAATGCCTTTCACAAAACCACATACAACAACACGGCTACCCCCCTCCAGAACCAAAAAATGAAACAACCGACAACGCAAGAGCAACAACCACAAACACAGAAAACCGCAACAACGACCCAAGACCAACACCCACCCGACGAGTTGGTCCATCCCCTCACCCGGCTCGGCCCAGCCTCCTAGGCAAGGTGCTGGCATCCGCCTGGTTCATCTCTAGGCGGCGCATGCCCCGCGCCTTGGATCCCGGAGTCCGGCTCTGGCGCTTTCCGCGGGAAATGCCGAAGCCAAGTTCGGGGAACTGGAATCGTGTCCCCCGAATAAGCCAAAACGGTCCCCCGCAAAAAGGGTGAAAAAGGGCACTACTGGGGGGACGTAGGTAAACGTGTCCCCCCAAGAATAAGACGGTCCCCACATAACAAGATGGTAGGGGACCTTATTCCCACCATCATGCCACCCCATCCCCAACCCCACAGCACGCAGGCAGCTCGTGTTCCCTTCCTTTTTTTTTTTTTTTGGGGGGGGGGCGTTGCTTTGAGGTTTGGTTTGATTGGATTCGTTTTTTTCTTTGTAGGGGTTCACAATCAAACAAAGCAAGAAACCTTATACACCAAGATTCGACGTCCGAGATTTGTTTCCACAACAGCCTGTACCATGTTTCCCTTCAAGACAAGCGAGGATACAACATCACCTTAACCCAGTTGCGCAGCGGCGCGGAAGCTATGAATACCGGCCCCTTTACATCCCCGTTGCAATATTCGAGCAATTCGCCATGAACCTTCTCGGGAAGTTGGATTCTGACCACATGTGGGATGGATGGCTTTGCCTTGGGTTTGCCACGACCCGTGCCAGATGGGCCTCAGGCCAACCCCGTTGTAAGCAGGGTCTGCTCGTTGGCAAGTCAAAGGAAAATCCGTGGGAAGGCCTCAGAGCCAGCAGGGGGGGAGGTCGAGTTCGAGCACGTAATGCAGTCTCAGAGCGGTAGATCAGAAGGCAAGTATCTCATCAATTGGCTGCTTTGCTCATGCATCTCCCACGGGCTATGGGGCGGGCTGTCTCATCAAACCCCTATCATTCGCTGCAGGGATAGCCGCCCCCTCTGCCGCCTGTAGGCCTACCAAACTGGTCCATCTCCATGACAGCTTTCTCTTTTTCCAAAAAAAGTCCCTAGCAAGAAAAACATGAACCCAAACTAAACTTGGTCATTCCACCCCACACCTAGGATTGCCATACTTGTTTCCCCAAACGCGTGGACAAACTTCCCACGAGGCCGCGGCCGCCGCCGCCTCGGCCCGCTGTAGACCCGTGGGCTCCGGCGGGGCCGGAGGCCTCGGAAGGAGGGTATGCCGTCCCAAAAAGGCGGCGGTTGGATGGGTAGCCGTCCATTTGGGTGCGGCTCAAAATTAAACAGGAGGGGCAAACCGCAGGTTTTGGTCCATGTTTCCACTTACCAGGGCAACCCATTTTGGTATTCCGGTTTGTTGAGCCACAGCCATTTGGGAGGAGGTTCCCAATTCAAAAAAATCTATTTCGGAGGGTTCCGATTTCAGGAGGAACCCATTTAGAAGCTATCCCATGAATCTCCGTCTTGGGGTGTTCCCACGGGAAAAAGAGAAAGAGAGAGACCTCTCTGCGAAAACCAGCGGTTACCGGTTTGGGTCCTGAGTCCCAGGACTGAGGATGCACCTTGCCAATGGCGGACATGAAGGCACCAAAGATGTTCCTCAAACAAATGGTAAAACCGGTACTCTTTGTCTTTGATGTGGGGTAGTACTTACATCGTCGCTTTTTGTGTTTGATGCTTTGATGTGGGGTAGTACTTGAATGGTCGATTCGAATTGAAGATGTGAGCCTGCAACAAACAAACGGCAGCTCATAAACCTAAAAGTTCCCGGGTCAAAGGGGCTGTCCTTCTTGATCAGGCTATGAATGGCAGATGCCAAACATGTTGACTGAAGAGGACAGCAAGAAACCGGAGAACAAAAAAACTATGCTCTCCAATCCGTTGCAAGTGCCGGGAGAATCCGGGCAGGGCACAGGTCCAGTGGGCAGGTTGGAGCCGTGACAACGCAGACCGCCTTGCCTAGCACCAAAACTTAAGTTTGCCTTTCTGGCTCACCGGCCAAGACTTGCGTGCCCGCCATGCTTATTCGTTCTCAAAAAGCAACCCATTTCAGACCCGTTCGGGTCTCAGAGAACAGAACGCGCAACTGGCGCAACTGCCCTGGTCCCCTATTCTTCAATCCTCTTTCCAAAAATCTGTCACTGGCAATTCTGTTCTTTGCAACTTTCCACTAACAATTGCCAGACGAATTGACAAAGCAAACAGTAGGATTTCTCCGAAATATTCCAAACAAACATGTCCAGCCACGGACAAGGATCTTGACACGAATTAGTCAGAGGTATCTTCATTATTATTTGTCTTCCTAAAATCTGAAGCGGAGGCACAACTCTTTCCAAACAACAATAATGCAATCTGAAACAGGCCCCCTTGTTGGAGAACCATTATCTTCCGGCTATATACCTCAAACTAGGCACTTTTCTGTTGCAGTCTGTTTTTTGGGGGAGGGCACCCGAAGTCGGTTGTATGGGAGGTTACCGGACTTCTTATGTTCTTTTGACCCACTCACATGAAGCCATGTTCGCCACTGGCCCAAGCCAGGCATCCCTTTCAGGTTCCATGACAACAGGGTGTTTGTGTCTTTATCAAACTCCTTAATTCATGTGCCTTTGGTGTTGTCCTACCCCCAAAAGGGACAGTAACCATTTCTTAAAGCCCCCAATGGTGTGCCTTTGGTGTTTTCAATCTGCTTAATTCATGCGCCTTTGGTGTTTTCCTACATTTGCCTACCCCCAAACACGACCCTCAACCCAAGGAGAGGAGCCACCGACTCAGAGAGTCTGGCCTCCGCTTCCAATTGGGCCGAGCGTCTGGCGCGCGGCGGCGCGGTAGCGCTTGGCCGCGGCCATCTCCGCCTAGCGTTGCAGACCGGCGAAACGGCGAAGCGGGTGAAGGGGAGCAACAATCCCTAGGTCCTCCGAATAAGCCAAAATTGTCCCCCCCAAGAAAAACAAACAAACAATCACCTAGGTAAGGTGAAGCAGTTTGCAGGTGAAGCACCTGGATCCCCAGTGGCCAAAAAATATTTTCCAGATTCTTGGTCCTCCAGATTTGAGAGGTTAGGATAAGTTGGTACCAACTCTCTTTTTTTCAGGACGTCTTATTTTAGGGGAACCCTCCCCCAAAAAGAGTGAGAAAGGGACCCAGCTGGGGGACCTAGCCTTAAGGTGCAGCAGTTTGCAAGGGGTAAGGGTTAAAGGGAAGAATTCTGTGAACTCAATGTGGACACAAGTGAACCAGGTGAATTGCCATACTGGACCGACGCGGGGCCCAAATAAAAGCGCCTCCGGAAAGGTGGCCCAACCTCTCGAACTTTCGGACCGGACAAAGTACGCCCCCCCGTTTTTGACCACCTGAAATTGCATGGCAAAGCTGTTGACAACCTGTCCGACACCAAATAGCAACACGTGCTCAAACTCCACCGGCACTAACTCCTCTCCACTGGCTGTAAGAATCCTCTCCAAATCGTGGAGATTCCTCGGCCCTCGCTTCAATCCACCCTTCTTCTTCAGCAACTCAAAGAAAAAACCACACACATTTGCTTCGAGGCCTCTTTGAGGCCCATGGGATCCACTACAAAGGGCCGGAAAACTCGCGCCTTGTACTCGGTGCGCAGCAGGCGCGACTCTTTGTCGGCCTTCTCTGAGGGGAGCACCTCCTTGGCAGCTTAGCATTGTCGGAAACTCCGCTTCAAAGTGATATGGAAGCTGAAAAAACCGGGGGGGGGGGCAAAGAGAAGCTTCATATGGAACCTGAAAACGCCCCCCGTCTTCCCCAAACAAATATTCCTCTAAAATTGTTCTTGTTCGGGGTTCTTTGGTCCTGGTACGAGCAGATTCGTTTGCTTTAGCCGCGCCTCTTCTGGCGACACCCTCAAAGGGGATCTCTCATTGTTTGTTTTTGGAAAGTCGGGAAATGCCCCCGGTCGCCCGGGGAAAACAGGTGGGCTCCTAAACAAAGAGTGATCCTGTACAAAGGTTGGCTTGATCTTGGTTTCTCTTGACATACTGTGGATGGACGAAAGCCATTTCACGCCACTTTGAAGCCATGGGAAGCCACTGTTTGTTGGTACGAATCATCCCGTCTTTCCGAACGGCGGTGCAAAGTGGATTTCGCAACCATCCACAGCATCAACCAAAAGGAAGCATCGCAGCAAGAAAAGGGTTTGCCACTAAAATGGTCTTCCCAAAAAGGACTTAAAAGTCCATGAGCTCACGTAAGTGAGACCAAAACAGGGATCCTTACATTATACACCTGAACATTGCCTTGTAAATGGTGGTTTCCCTTTTTTTGGTGCAAAAAGACATGTTTCAAATGGTTGCAAAGTGTATCCTTTTAGGAGCCCTGCAAAAGGAAGGTGCATTTTGAGCCACTTTTTCCATTTCGGGCCGAGGCCCGTGCCGCCTCCCGGACCTTCCGGCGCTGCATGCCCCGCAGAGCCAGCTCGGAGCTGCTCAGCTCGCTCTGCAACTGCCGCACCTGGCTGTCTGGGAGACATCTTCTCTTCAACCAGTCAACTATTCCCCCAAGCTATCAGACAAGGGAAAAAGGTCGCGCATTGAAAGAATCTGGCCATCCGCATGCACGAGAGTCGTCGCAATGCAGTGGAGAGAAAAACTGCCAAAACTATCAGGGCACCCTAGCATGGGTCCCCCAACCGGAATCTCGGCAACAGAAGGATTGGGGTTTGCTACTCAAGATTCCTCTCCAAAGTCTGCGGAGTTATCCTGAGTTCACATGGTATGTTAAAATGGGGGCCCAGAAAAACATGGATGGCTTTGTCTTTGGCGTCCTGACCGAATATTTAATGTCTCCAAAATTACTCGTCGGTCCAATGGCTTAAGCCGAAGGAACCTCTAGGAGTCATCACAACCCTGGCGCCTCAGTCCAAATTGGCGACCAAAACGTGACTTCTTGTTTGACTTCGTGTGGTGCCATTTTCAACTGTCCACTTTGCTTGTGAGCATGGACTCTCCCAACCTGCGAGTCGCAAGCCTAAAAAGCTCGAGGAATACTTAGAGGACCCACAGGCAGGGTTGTCATATCCCTTTGTCACTAAAGCACGGGGGACCCAACAAGTAACGAAAAAACAGAATTCGCCCAACGGACACCATATGGTTGTCCGTCGGGCCTCGTCTGGGCTATCGATGACCAGGCGAGCTTGACCCAACTGATGAAAGTGAACATGACTCATTGTGTCATTGTGTTGTTTGGCAAGTTTCCTCCAACCACAGCATGCAATGACAAAAACCAATCATTGGGGCCAAATCTTGGGGCCAGGTGCGCTACCAACGTGCGGAATCGAAAGAGTCCAAAAGCTATTCACTCATATGTCCCTCCAGCTCCCCAGCCTGCCCATAAACCTCTGGTAGCGGCGCCGTCTTCCTCGAGACAATGCATGGAGTGAACGGGTCCAACCCCCCCCCCCCCCCCCCGGATTTGTTCGGCACCAAGCCCCAAACAAGAATCAACCACCAAAGGAAGGCGGTGGTAAAGTAGACCCCCAGCCTAATTACTATCACTCGAATTTCTCAAGGTCGCTGCAAGGACCTCGCGATTTGACAGGTGTGCTTCAACGTAAGGTTGGAGTACTGGTGGGATATGGAACCTGTACTCTAGATGGCTGATGTCAGGATTCCGGGTTTAAAAGTCTTCTGCCAGGTTTATGAATGGGGGTCAACAATAGTCAACCGGGGAAAACCGATGTGTTAGCGTCAAAAAGGCCTAGCTCTCGACTCAAACGAGACGAGAACTGAAAAACCTTTAGGTCACGTTCAGTTGTGCAAGCATGTTCGCAGTCTTCCGCGGGCCCCAAGCGTTTGTTCTGCGGCGTTTCATCGGTCACTTCTCAAAAGCTTTCGCAAGGATTGGCGCGCAAAAGGAATGCTGAAGTTGCACTAAAGCCCGCAAAGTTTTGCAATCCTCCCGCCCGCACATGTGGCGCGGTGCACATGATCCAGATATCTCGAAGGGTAAACTTGCGTGGCAAGAGCACTGTTTGAGAACACTAACAGCATTTGACACCTCTCAACCTCTCCCCCTTCCGCGACATCGGCTCCCCGGATCACGCTGAGCAGCTTGTTCTCCAACTCCTTCCATGACAATAGCAGGCCATTGCTGAGGTATGTGGGGGAGGATGTCAAAATATCAAGATCTGCATTGTTGTAGCATGCTTCCTTTCTAGTTCATTGTATAGACTCATGCCACGTGTAGGTGTATATATATATATACATTCTAGGCATGAGAAAATAGATTTTCATTATATCAATACGCAGTCCAAGACACTGACACGTATGGCTTTAGATCTCTCTCTTTGAAAGGCAACTGAGACCAACAGAAGCCCAGATAGAAGGCCATGTGCCGATCAAAAAAACAAACATTCAAAGGGCGAATGGCAATCCTGGTGCAAAGGCTTGCTGTGAAAAGCGCCCATGGCGATGTCTTCAAGTTCCCCCCCAAATACGGGGAACCCATATAGCTCCAGTTCTCGGGTCACAAACCCCAGACGCGAAGCTTGTCCAGATCCATTGCGAGCTCGTCCCCTGAGCCCGGGCGAAATGCTTTGGATCTTCGACATCTTCTTGGCTTCAGGGAAGGACATCTGCAGACATGCGCGCAGAACGCGATCAGCCGGATCAAAGAGAACAAACAGGTCGTTCAGACACGACTCAATAACGCCCCGAAGGAGTAAGGGGAAGGTGAAGGCACGTCAGTCCCCAGGCAACGCCTTACACGGACAGGCCGCAGAAGATGTGCAGCCTTTCCATCGTGCGAAAACCCCATGTCGAAGAGTTGGGGGGACAGCAACCGTGGGTTGCCAGGAGTGTGAACGCCGAAGGTCCGCGCTCACGAGTCTCCAGGAAGACTCTGCACTCACACCGCGTCAAGTCTCCGTCTGTTCTCAAGCTGCACGCTGTGGAGTCGCATGCTTCAAACCAACGGATGAGCGTAAAGGTATAGACAATTGGAACTATTCTTACTTGCACGTTGTGAACAACTGGGTACGCAGCCGCACTATGTGGGTGTGTCTCTGGCTCTCAAAATGGCTGATGTCCCTTTTTCCGGACAAACAACATCGAGAGTACCAACTCCAAAACAAGATACCCCCCTTCAAAGCTCCAAGGGTACCAACTCTAGATGCTGACAACAAGGAGCAGACTACTTCAACAAATTGGCCATTTTCCTCCAGGATCCATCTGGGGGTTGATCAACAGGTCCTTTACATGGGGTGACCTTTGGGCAAACCACAACAAAAATGAATGACTTTCACCACATGGGAAAAGTTACCCATGCTCAAAACTGACGAGCCCCAAATGGAATATTGATCAACCCCGATGTGGGGATTTCTGTCCAACCACTGTTCAGGGTGTTTAGGTGGGAGTATTGATCAACCCCCATGTAGGTGGGATTTTGTTTGCAGGGATTGGAGCTGTAAAGCCACATCCCCGTGAGCACCCCTTCTGTTTTAAAAGAAGAAGAAGAAGAAGAAGAAGAAGAAAAACGCCGGAGGGGCGGGGGAGGGTCCGTCTTATTCCTCAAAAGCGGCTCCATGTCTCAAAAAGCCGTGGGGGCTCGCTTGGCGCTTCGGCTCACGCTCGCGCGCTTCCATTCGCGCGCTTCCGTTCGCGCGCGCTGCCTGCAGCGCCCGCTTCCGCAGCAGCTGCTCAGTGCCCAGCTCGGTGCCCAGCTGGTCCCGCTCCATCAGCGCCTGGCGGGGACGAACCCGCCGGCTGAGTGGCCGGGTTCTGCGCCGACCTCCGTTCGAAACTTTGGCCGATCCGAAAAATCCCGAAATCTTGCACGCCCAAGCAAATGCTGGTGGCGATATGTGGGGAACGAGGGAATGAACCTGGGGATTCCCTTAAAGAAAATCGTAGGAGATGGTGTATTTCGGGTCATTCCCCTATTCCCTGCTGAGCCAGCGAGTCATAGCCAATGCTGGGTCTTCGAAGTTGGAACATAAATTTCAAGTTGCAAAGCCCTGCAAAACAAAAAATGCTCCGAGGTCCGCTGTGCGATCTCTTCTCGCCTTTCTAGCGCAAATGGTGGGCGAAGCCCCTGAACAAGATCTATACATATTGTACACTTTCTGTTCGGAAGCTCCAAGTATTCAGCTTCCCTCTGTGGCTTGGAGCCCGGTGGTTTGGCTTCCCTTGTGCCCTCCACAAGAACCAGGGCTCAACCCCCCAATCCAAACCACCAACCGGGGTTACCTGATGGTCCGCATAGACATGCTCAGGCACTGGAAGGCCCGTGGCAACTTGTGGCTCTAACTCACTATGCCGAAGCTAACACCCGCATGCCGGCGTTCTGGTCCGGATTTAACTCACGCCTCCAAATGCAAAGTTACATACTTGCCCGGTAGCCACAACTACAACAAAACAAAAACTAGTTGCTTGAGTTGAAAGGCAAACCACTCGAGCAAGGCAGAAAAGCGTTGAAACGCAGTTGACAACTGTGTCAAGGCGGACAAGGCCTTCTCGCTTGCCATATTGACAGCTTTCCGACTGGGCAACTCAGATGTGCCACAGTCAAAACATCTTACCCTACCTAAAACTCGGATTGGTTTGGTCACAACGGGCTCCGTGCAACCGATCTTTGTTTGGGGAAGGGTATATGTGCCATGGATTCAGTTTGTATGGAGTGTCCAGTATCCAATCAAAGGATTCATGACATTCTTGTAACTGCTGGTCTTTTGACACTGGCACAAATGTGTGTTGTAGATTGGGACAACCTTCTCCAAATGCCGGGTCTTGCAAGTTCCCTCTCAGCATCCTCGGAAGGGGGGGCCATATTTTGAGACGCGGCGGCAATCCTGGTCAGCCCATAGTTCCCTCCCTCCAAAAGGGCACCCTTGTCACTCATTAATGATTCTGGGAGAATTATAATATTTCGCCAACCTAAAATAAGGTGGTTGGGGGGCTATTCCCCACATAAACCACCATTTGGGGTGAGGTCGCGTGCGGTCGTTATAATTCACCCAGATCATTACGTTGCGCAAACCCTTCTTTAGGATAGTCTCTTGCTCTGATGAGCTCGGAGAGTCTGTCAAGTCTCCTTGGAGTTGGATCGATGGTCACGAGGGTGTCGCTTTCCCAAGATGCCCTTGTCAACGTATCTGCGAGCAACGAACAAAAATATGTTTTGCCTGAAAAACCATGGGATGAGGACCCTGGGATAAGTACGTGGCTTTGAGTGGAACGAAACGGGTCTAAACTGGTGGGCGGTTCGTGTTCCACCGGCTCAAACGAGTTTTGAGTCTCCGCCTTGGGCGCCTTTGCTAGGTTATAAATAAATGGCATTGTAATGTGTATATATATATTATATATATATATATATATATATATTCGCTTTCGGCGAATCACATTTAGGAGGTCTACCATTTCTACCCGAAGCAGTCCGAGCCCTGCCCTTGCCTCCGCCAGCTGCATGCGCAGCTCAGCCTCCGCTGCTTGAGCCGAGCCCGTGGCCTCGCGGCTCGCGGCTCGCGGCTCGCTGCTCGCAGCTGGGCGACCCCGGCTCGTCGACTAGGGTTGCTTCAAATGGCCATGGTCAAAAGCCAAAGCCCGTACCCCCAGTGAACATCCCAATCCAACCACTAAAATAGGTCCTGAAATGGGTGGTGCACCTACCCCAACATGGTACCATTGGTTTTGACCCACAGCCAAATGAATCTGAGTCCTGGTTCGATAGGCAGAGAAATGAGAAGTGGAATGCCCCCCCGTAAACCTACTATAAACCATCCCTTGCGGTTTCCTTTAAGGGAATCTCCAGGTTCATTCCCGCATTCCCTACTGAGCACCAGCAAGAAAAGTACTTGCAAGAGAAAAGTTTTGGGGATATTTATGAGTATACATGGGGCTGAGGAATCAATTGTTTGACGGTGAGTTTGAGGTTGGTCTAGGGGTTCCACTTCAAGATCCATTTGGGGGTGCCCTGGTTTGGAGATTCAATATGAAAATGGGAGAGGGTCAGATTAGTGTCTTGTTAAAACATCATTCTTGGAAGGAAGACCACTCGTTTAACCCTGGGGTTACGCGGGACAAGACCCAAATCTGCAAAGGCCGCCCTCCCGTGCCAAATGGCCACGCGAAGTCGGCTGAGGTGGGCCTTGGTTTAGTTGGCAGCGCGTCTTCGCGCAACGACTGACGAGCTTGCCGCACTTCAACCTGTTCGTTTCCCTGCATCCACTTACTTGTTTTTTTGACGTTACTGCCTGAGATGAGCAACCTTCGAGAGGCCTGAATAAGGTCTTCTTGGTGCAAAACAAGGGAGGAGCTCTGAGAACAGGGCAAGGGGGGGGGCATAGAGGTCTTTATATGCCCCCTTTCATCAGCACCCCAAAGGAAACTCAGTCAACCTTGGCTACCTTGTTGATGATGCTGACCCAAAACGGAGACGACCGGGAGCTTCACAAACTCACTGAGGTCCCTGATGTGTCCGTGTATTGGCTTTGTTTCATATCAGTTCTGCAAAGGTTGTCTTCAGTGTCCTTTGTGATGCTTTTTTCGGACCCTGCGACAGGGGAGCAACCAACCAACCCCCACCTCACCCCACAACACATATATATATATATATATATATACACACTCACATACCCGCAAGACCCCTCCCTCTCCCCCCGCCGCACTCCCGTGGTGTTCCCGCAATACACTTTCAAGGCCGTCTTTGGATTGTGCACAAGGAAGGTTTGTTCGAGACACGTTTGTGAATACCAAAAACAATACAAGGGATGGGCTGAGACCATGCACAGGCTGAGGTTGGGAGGAGGGGGAGCAATCCTGTGCAAAGCCTCATGTTGGCCGCGGCCATGGTTCCCTAGAATCACCAAGGGGCTGCCAAGCGCAATTAAGCCAGTTATGAACCTGGTAGATAAAGGACCCCCCAAGAAAGGGAAAACTAGCTAGCCTCCCTGATTTCGTAAGAAACGTAAGTCTCCGTCCCTCCCACATGCGCCGTACACCACTTTCGACCCCGAATTTATCAAACATCTCGGTCTCGAATTATTGGGGGGAGGTCCCCCAAAGTGATTCGGATCTCTACATGGGAGACCCTTCTTTCAATCAAATATCAGCCAACCAAGCATCGCGGAACCCTAAAAAGGGGCCCCAAAAAAGAAACTCCTCAACCGAAAAGACTTGGTTTCGTGGTTACAATTTAGTCTCCCCCAAATTCTGCAGAAACATGGGCATGTCTCAAACTAGGTGACCCTATAGTTTCGGCGGAACTCGGAGAATTTTGCATTTGGTCACTCCAAAAATGCCCAAAAAGGCCCAACCCCTCCAAACCTTCCATTTGCTTATGCCCTCCGGAAAAAATAAAATCAAATGATAGACTCCCATTAAAACCAACAAGGGGAAAAAAACAAACTCAGGTGATATCCCCAACAGCACGCGGTGCTCTTTTAGTGCTCGCACCACCCCGCAGCCCTCGCAGAACCTCGTGGAACCCTCGTGGAACCCTGCTGGAACCCTCGTGGAACCCTCGTGGAACCTTACCTCAGAATCGCTCCGGACCACCCTGGAGCCTATCTGGGCTGAGACCGCAAAGCTTTCAGCTGTTGGGGAAAAGTATTCTTAAGCAAATGGCAGAAACACACGAAGAAGGCGCCGGCCTCTTGCTCCTTCTGCAAGGCAGCGCTCGCGGACGCGGCGGACCGCTCCGCCTCCACGGGGCGAAGTCTTGAAAGAGCGGGAGTTGTTCCAAGGTCCTCCGAATCCGCTGGGGTTGAAATATGTTCCTTGGCGAAAATGCGCCTCTTTTTCGCTTGAAGGGATTGAAATATATGAAGCACCCGAACTGGTTTGCTTGGTGACTTCCGTTGGGCACCAAAAGGGGTACCGAACTTTCCAAAAAGGCCAGTGGGTGTGGGAACGAAATAGATATTGTCCCTGATCTTCCACCATGGAAAAGCAGGGTCCTAGGGCAAAATTTCCGTTTTGAGCCAAGATCACACTCAAGAAGGACCCTGGTTATGCGGTTCCTTGGAAGACCAAGGTATGCTCATTGGCCTATTTGTATCTCCTTTGCGTTTGCGGAACCCTGTGCGCAGAGAAGTGGAGAATCCAATGAAGGCACCTCAAAACACAAAAGGTAACAACTCAACACGAGACCCAAAATGAGATTGGCAAAATAGGCTTCAGTTCTTTCTTGAGATCTTTGTGAAAACTCACGCCATCCGAAAGGAGGTCCGAAAAAGATGTCAATCATCATGATGACCGTCCGTGATGCACTTGCAACCAAAGGACCTGAACAAATGGTCCTTTTGGCTTGGTTTTAAAGGGATACCAAAAGAAAAACCGATGCCCATTTTGGCCCCCCCTCCATTTGACATTGCAAGGGTTTGTTTGCTTTGGGGCAACTGGGTGAAAGCCTGGCACAATCATCAAACAAAAAAATCCCGCCCCCCAATCTGCAAAGCCGCTAGGATCAAAAATTGTTCCCCCAGCCATACTTGCCGGTGATCATGAGTATCAACCATAGGTCACATCCAACATATCACAGACATAGACACAAACACAAGACATAAGAGACATCTACACTTGCATCAGAGATACATAACATATCAAAATTATCTGAGAGGGTCTGGGAATGCCAATTTCTGTCTCACTGGAAGTAAACAAGTCTTCAAATGAAACGGCAATAGTTCTCTGGCACGGGGCCAATTAGTGTGCAACCGGCACACAGAGTACGCATGTTTCGCTCGCACTGGGGTGCTTAGGTCCACATTCCCTGCAAAGGGGACACCTATTTCAGGGCAGTCCCAACGAAGTATACAGCCATGCAGAACACTGTTCGAAGAGGTTTGGACCCCAATACCTTTCACGACGTAGAGAAGAACAAGCGTGACAAAATGAAACAGGGACCCCTCAACAAAACCTGAGGATGATAAATCAGCGGTATCTGTTCAAGGGGTATCGGTGTTCGGAATGGGAATAAGTGATTTGTGGGAACTGAAACGACTCAATAGCAACACCGGTAAAGACCTGTGCCATGGGATCACTGGATATGTTGTCTTCAGTTGAATTTGGCTGGATTCAGCGGGACATCTTCGAGCCAGCCCTGAGTCCTGAGACCTGCGCTTGGTACATTGCAAGTAAACTAGGGATGTTTGTAACTTGCCTTGGCCAATCCGAACAAGTGCCTTTTACAAAAACCAAGGACTTCCCACAACTAGTCCGAACCAATTCGCAAACTGGACATTAGGAGCCCTCATGCAACCAGCCCTCACGGATGGAAAACAAAAACCCACGCTTGCCTCCTGCAGGCGGACACGCAGCAACCCGATGTCCTGAGAGGGCCGGAAGGCCCGTGCCTGCACGCGACGCGAGAAGACTGCTTGCGGGAGCCCAAGAAAACCCCATCGTTTCAATGGTTGTTTTTTCTCACAAGGTGCCTCTTGCCGGATCCTTCCCACTTCTGTGGGGGCTTGCGGCTGTGACTTGGCGCCCTGCAACTCCTGGTCCGAGGCCATGGATGGCTGTGGCCCTCCGGCTCCGGATTCGCGGGCGATGCCTGAAGACTCTGCCCCTGTCATTCGTTGGTTGGCTGAGCTCTCCCGGGCACCTTGCTGTGGCTGCTGCGGCTCTGACTTGCCTCCGGCCTGGTTGTCCGGTGCAGCTGAGGGTAGGGATGGTTGTGCATCCGCTGTAGCAGCTGTGGATTCTTTGGCGTTTGCGCCTACAGAGACAGCTGTCGTCTCACTCGTTGGTGCCTCTGCTTGGCTAATCTCTCCTACTTCCGCTGTGTTGGGGGCTTGCTGTGGCTCCTGTGCCTCTAATTTGGTTCCCGTGACCTGTTTGTCCGGTACATCTGAGGGTAGGGATGGTTGTGCCTCCGCTGTAGCAGCTCCGGATTCTTTGGGGTCTGCGCCTACAGAGACAGCTGTCGTCTCACTCGTTGGTGCCTCTGCTTGGCCAATCTCTCCTACTTCTGCTGTGCCGGGGGCTTGCTGTGGCTCCTGTGCCTCTGATCTGGTTCCCGTGACCTGTTTGTCCGGAGAATCTGAGGGTAGGGATGGTTGTGCCTCCGCTGTAGCAGCTCCGGATTCTTTGGGGTCTGCGCCTACAGAGACAGCTGTCGTCTCACTCGTTGGTGCCTCTGCTTGGCCAATCTCTCCTACTTCTGCTGTGCCGGGGGCTTGCTGTGGCTCCTGTGCCTCTGACGTGTCTCCCGGCCTTTTTGTCCGCTGCATCCGACGGCAGGGATGTTTGTGGCTCTGCTGTGCCAGCTGTCGTCCCACCTGTTGGTGCCTCTGCTTGGTTGACCTCTGCCACTTCTGCTGTGTTGGGGGCTTGCTGCAGCTGCTGTGGCTGCTGTGGCTCTGATTTGGTTCCCGTGACATGTTTGTCCGGTACATCTGAGGGTAGGGATGGTTGTGCCTCCGCTGTAGCAGCTGTGGATTTTTTGGGGTCTGGGCCTACAGAGACAGCTGTCGTCTCACTCGTTGGTGCCTCCGCTTGGCTAATCTCTCCTACTTCTGCTGTGCTGGGGGCTTGCTGTGGCTCCTGTGGCTCTGATTTGATTCCCGTGACCTGTTTGTCCAGTACATCTATTGGCAGGGATGTTTGTGGCTCTGCTGTCCCAGCTGTCGTCCCACCTGTTGGTGCCTCTGCTTGGTTGACCTCTGCCACTTCTGCTGTGTTGGGGGCTTGCTGCAGCTGCTGTGGC